TTCTAGGTGTTTACCTTGTGTGGCATTTAGGGAGGAAGACCAGGTAGGGGAGGCATAGGTGAGCTTGGGAAGTATGAATGTTAAGTAAACACTGAGGAGCTTGGGTGCAGGAACTCCGAGGGACTTGAGTCGGCGGAGGAGGTGGAGACGGAAACTGGAGGATTTGACAACTTCACTGACGTGTGGTTTCCAATTTAGTTTGTTGTCTATGGTGACGCCGAGGAGCTTAGTGGAATCTACAACCTGGAGTGTGTTGGGACCTAAAGTAATGGAAGGGGGTGGGACAATGTTGGAGGAGAGGTTGATGTGCATAACCATGGTCTTGGTATGGTTGATGGTGACGTGGTTGTTGGTGGCCCAGTTTTGGAGACTGTTCAATAAATCGTGAAGGGCGGTATAGTCGGGAGCAGAATTGTTGACGCCGATCCCAATAGTGGAGTCGTCGACATATTTCCAGCGAGCAGGGGATTCCCTAAGGGCATCATTGATAAGCATAAGGAAGCAGAGTGGTTCCATCTTGGTGCCTTGGGGGGCGCATTTACGTTGTACCCTGCCAGAACCGGAATTCCCACTTTATGCGGTGCATCTACTCATAACGCGGGTGAAGTATAATTTTTTTTTTTAGCTCGTAAAATTCATACAAATTACCCGGCCAGAATATAATTTACATTGTGTGGGAAGAGGGAGCTGGAGGTGGGGTATTTTGATTGACAGATAGTGTCTGGGTGAAGTATATTTTTTTATATTTATTGAAAATATTTGTTTTAGCTCATAAAATTCATACAAATTACCTGGCCAGAATATAATTTACATTGCTGGAATTCTTACAATTTGATGATCATTTTGAATATAAACATCATAGATTTTGCATTAGACATACAAATTTTAGATCTTAAGTAAGAATTTTGTTTACTCAGAGCAAATATGTTATCTTTTGTGCAAAATATATGACATGTATATTCAAAATATTCCTGGTCTTGCAAGGAATCCAACATTGTCAATTATATTATCCTAACTTTAGTTTGAGGTATTATTTATTACTATACCTTAAAATCTAGTGTTTTCACCCAAACATTTCTCAGAGAGGGAGGAGCCAGCGAGCGTTGGAAGAGGGAGGGGGGGGGGGAGTTGAGTCCATTATTTGAATGGACATTAACCTGGCGACTGTATTTCTCTTAAATATTAATTATGTGTGCATACCATCATAAAATTAAGATGTTATTTTTACTACAACATAGGTATTGTGTCAGAAAAAGTGGAGTTTGGGAGTCGGCCCGGTCTCTATTTCAATTAATCCCATATGTTCTGTTATTCCATTTATACGTTTCTCGTTTTACGTGGACCTCTGTAGGTTCAATTGACCTCGTAAATCGGGGTACTGTATAACTGTACTGTATTTTACTGTAGGGAGTACGTATTTAGGAAAAAACTTTTGTGTGTATTTTCCTCCTGTGGCCATAGTTTTCTTAAAATAATACACAGTACAGTACCAGTAAATGTGAGGAATAAATAACAATAATACCAACAAAAAATACTGTTTTGCCAAATCAGTAAATAAAAGTCAAATGAAAGTTCAACACAGCTGCCATTTGTATATTAAGAACATAAGAAACATAAGAAAATAAGGAGTCTGCATTAGGCCGGTTGGCCTGTGCATGGCAGCTCCTGTCGAGAGTTACTACCACTCTCTATCATCCATGAATCTATCTAGCCACCATTTAAAACTCCAGCACTTACTACAAAGTTGCTAAGCTTGTTCCACTCGTCCACCACCCTATTTGTGAACCAGTTCCTTCCTATCTCCCTCCTAAACCTAAACTTATCCAACTTAAATCCGTTGCTACGAGTCCTATCCTGCTCGGATATTATAAGAACTTTATCTATATCCCCTTTATTGATTCCTTTCACCCACTTAAATACTTCTATCATATCTCCCCGCACTCTTTGTCGTTCTAGGGAATGCAAGTTTAGTTTCTTTAACCTATCTTGATATGGAAGGTTTCTAAGTCCCGGAATCATTTTCGTCATTCTTCGTTGCACCGACTCCAGTGAATTGATATCCATTCTATAATAAAGGCACCAGAACTGAACAACATAATTGGGGTGCGGCCTGACTAGCGCAAGATATAGTTGCATAGTTGCAATATGACCTCACTTGTATTACTTACATTTCTAGATATAAAACCTAATATTCTGTTTCACCATAGCAACGAACATCAGCTGGCACACCAATTCCTTAGCAACCCCCTCTATATTTTGTCATTACTTTTTTTTTACTATTATTATTTTTTAATTATTTTTAGGAAAATAATATTGTCCGGCTTACCGTATATCACGGCCTATAAGGCGGCGGGGTGCATAAGACGCCCCCCCCAAATTTCCATTTAAAAAGTAGCCTTTGAGCTCTATTTGCTGTATAAGACCAGTACCCCAAATGTGACACTTACCCACTGACTCAGTAGTCCTTTACCAACCATCCTTGATTTTTTAAAATAAGGCCAATTCACTTCAAGTAATGTCATCAAATTATACCCGCTGGTGTAGTGTAAACACTAGTGACGTCACTGAAGCGTGGTGGGAGTGTTCCCTCGTCTCGGTGGTGTGACTATTTATACAACATGTGGTTCAACAGCAACCACCGTATTCTAATTGTGGTGTTTCATTAGGATTTGAGTGAAAAAGGTTACCAGTATGTACTTACTACATACATTTATTACACAAATATATATATATATATATATATATATATATATATATATATATATATATATATATATATATATATATATATATATATATATATATATATATATATATATATATATATATATATACTGAATATACTATGTACAAAAAATGAATGTTCAATGAATTATTTATGGTGCATTAGGGTACTGGTCACTTCAAATGGGCTATAAATAGCTTGTTATCTCCCCTCCATCTCACCCTGAGCCAGACGGAAGGGTCTTGGTAAATAACATGTTTGCTTATTTTCCATTTACTTTAAATAGATTTACCGAATTATTTGTTTTATTTATTTATTTATAATATACTGTAATATATTAAACACACTGTAATTATTTTCTTTAATTTATAAACTGTTTTGCGACAAAGGAATGTTCTCCAGTAGTGTTTCATTAGGATTTGAGTGAAAAAATATTACGTACTTACACAATTGTTCCTCTTACTTTGACAACACAACATACATACAGAATATTATTTCTCAGTTTTGATCTTTTTTTTTAATTTTTGTATTTATTTATAGTTAGTTACTTAAAATAAGGCCAATTCACTTCAAGTAATGGCATCAAATATTACCAGCTGGTGTAGTGTAAACACTAGTGACGTCACTTGAGCGTCTGTAATTAACCGTCGATAGTTTCAAGAATTAATGCACTTTTCCTTTCTTGTCTCCTCACTGGCAAATGGGGGGGGGCGTGGGGAGGGGTGTGTGATGATAGCTGTGTTTATTACAGGGGTATAAATCTCTTTTACGGTATGTTAGACAGGTTTATAATACATTTTTATTATTTTAATATACCGGTAATCTTAATTTGAATCCAGCTTGCCAAACGTAAGTTTCAGTATAAAATAATTAGTGGTAAGACCTTGTGAGTGGCTTACGATGTTTTCATCACCACTCTTGACACACTAAACCACAATATTTAAGAGGTAAGAATTTTAAACTTGGTGGTTTAGACGACCCCCTAACTTTGGGCAGATTTTTTTAATGTTCAAATTTCGTCTTATAGGCCGTGATATACGGTAAGTGATATCTGCCTTAACGAGGTTTTACTGTAGTATATTATGTACTTAAATAAATACACTGCATGTGGGACACTGTACTGACCAGCCCAGTCATGTTGCTCCTTCCTCTTGATCCTCCCCCCCAACTCTCCTCCTGGTACATCGCAGCAGATGATGATGGTGATGATGGTGATGATGGTGAATAATGATGATGGTGATGAGGGATGATGATGATGATTAATCTGTAGTGAACTGGTGATCCATTCATCTCATTTGCCCCAGCTGATGCTGTATTGTTCATGCTGCTCTGAAGTTTCTTTATTATTCTGACATTCTCGACCAAAGTCAACATTTTCCTTAGGGTTCTTGGGTACATTCTTGTTGCTACCTTTACGAGGATGTCTTAGAGGCATGATAGGATTTTATGACAACAAAGCACGGGTCATAGGGAGATGTTTGTGCAGTGTGGCGGGGACATTAGTGAGTTAGAGGAGAGGTGGGAAGCTGCAGTAGTGACGCCTGGCAGTTTCTTGTGGAAACCTGTTCGTGCGCTCAGTTCAAACGCATACAGAATATACTTCTGATAAAAATTCGCGAATAGTCGAAACCGTAAATGAAAAATCCGCAAAAAGCGAGGGTGCACTGTACTGTACTGTACTGTATTCTAATATGAATTAAATAAAGTTGATACTGTACTACTTTACTAATGTTATTATGATAAATACATATGCTTAGAAGTACAGTATTGTTTCCCACCAAAAATTGCTTAAAAATTAATATTTTTATGTTTGGGATACATACTGTTTTCCCTTTTATATAATGGTAGTCAAGGGGAAAATGAATTTGATTTACAAAAGGTTTTTAGGGATGTATCACTTTCATAAATCAACGCACTCCTGTAATAGTGCATGACTGAATGTTTGAACAGATACAGTGGAGAAAGTGAGGTTCTCTGTTGATGGACCAGACAACAGGAGGGAGCTGAGTAAAAGAATAACTGACATTTATTTACATAGTAGCTAAGGGATATGCAAGGGTTTTGAAATGGTAAAATTACATGGTTAGCTCTTGTAAAAAGTGAACTGTGGAATAAAGTGTTCTGAGATAGTATGGAACACTTTTCAAGAAATCTGTTAAAAAAGAAAGTTGGACAAGTGTCAGGTAGTTGTTCACCAGTGTGATTATATTGTTGCTAATGCATTATTTTTTTCTAATTCTTTTTGGAATTTTTACTTTTTCATGTATACTTTCAGCAACCCCTCCCAGATGTATCCTGGCAGTCCAGATAAAATACAGCTGAGCCCTGCTTCACTAGGTGGTTCTGCCACACGTAAGAAGATTATTGCCCCACCACTATCAACCAGTATAAGAGAGCTTTTTCCCCCCACATCACCCCCAGCTCAGCCTCACCCATCACCATCCCTCTCTCCACCTACACTGCATCCCTCTCCCTCCTCTCCCAGTGGCTCTTTGGCCCTTAAGAGGAAGGGTCGACGGGCTCCTGCTCCTCCACAGGTTGCTACTCCCAAAAGTGGCAGGGCATCCCCTACTGATTCCACTGCAGACACCCTGAGTATGGACACCATGTCTCTCTCTAGTATTGGTACTCAGAGTCAGGAGAAGCAAGTCCAAGAGGAAGGTAGGCTATGTTACTGCTATTGTGGGATGTTGTTGCTTATTATGTGGTTAATTTGTATAGGGATAAGAAGCCAATATTGGTAGCATGCTTAAGCTTCATGATTCGTGGATTCTTTGTCCCTATGTGATTATGGGCTGTAATAGCATGCAGTTGATTCTGTGCTTGGCCCTTACCAGACCAGGATGAGGTGCTGAGTTGGAAAATGCAGAAGGACATGAAAAACCACTCGAACAAGATGAATGGCACCACAGATCAACGGGTGCCACCGCCCAAACCCTCTCGGGCTTTCCAAGCTTCCCAAAATCTGACCCCTGTGACAGGTTGGTGCTTGCTTGCTTATATACTTATTTATGCTGTTGCTGTTGAGACCTGTGTGTTGGTGTTGTGTAGTGCAGATTTAATGCACAATTATAAATTTTCACTTTCAAATACTATACAGTGGTCCCTCGGTTAACGAACACAATTCGTTCCAGAGGGTCGTTCGTTAACCGAAAATTTCGTTAACCGAATCCATTATTTCATTGGGATATTGAGTAATTGGTTCCAGCTCACAGAAAAGTACATACAAAGTAAAGCCAAAAATGCATAAAGTCAGAAACACTCCTAAAATTCCCCTAAATCGCCCTTAAATCACTATACAGTATATATACGTACATATACACTCTTACTCTTAAATCACTACTGTAATGTGATACAGGTGATTAATTTTATCTCTTGTGCAGAATATATGACGTTTATATTCAACTTATCCGCTGTCTTGCAAGGATTCCAGCAATGCAAATTATATTCTCCTAACTTTAGTCTGAGATATTATATAAGATAAAAACTGTAAGCCTAAAAACCTGGCTGGGGGAGAGGGAGGGAGCGAGCAAGCGAGCGAGCAGGAGGTGAGGTGATAGTGTAGGGGTATGAGATGTTGGTTCACACTCAGGAAGGGATGGAGAAAGGAAACTCACAATGTGCTCACTGTATACATATTGTATTGGATGTACAATGCAGCTTGTTGCTGGGTAGGTAGCATGGCAATAAGTGTTGAGTTGAGAGAGCTGGTTGGTGAGGGTGCCCAGAGTGAGGGCACGCGGCTTGAGGGACGCCAAGGTCACTGGCGGGAGCAGCAGCGGCCCGGCTGGCGCGGAGGAAGAGGTGTTGCTTGCTGGTGGCACTGGGTAGAAAAGAGAGCTGGTCACAGCGGTGTCAGGCCTTATAAGGCGGGGGTAGGCGTGGGTAGATAGTTGACCCCCGCTCCGTGGGCAATGCAAATTATATTCTCCTAACTTTAGTCTGTGATATTATATAAGATATAAACTGTAAGCCTACTGTATAACCACCAAACCCTGGCTGGGAGGGAGGGAGGGGTGACAGTGACATGTTTCACAGTTAGCTCCGAAGGTCTAGTGAAGTACAGTATTTATTTGTTTATTTATGTCCTTTAGCTTGAGTTTTTGTTTTTTGCTTCTAAAATTTCATAGAAGTGACCCGGGAGAATATAATTTACATTGCTGGAATTCTTATAAGATAGTGATTAATTTGAATGTAAACATGCCATAGTTTGCACTAGATAAAAATTTTAGTAATCATTTTGTACATTATTTTGATTACATGTACAGCACAGCTTTGCCCTTAGGACAGTGTGTGCATGTAAATGAGTTTCAATAAATGAATAAAGTTACATATATCGAGCCAAAAATAATAGTTGAAAAACTTTATGTAGACAGAGCTCGGATGGCTAAATTTTAGAATGACCAATAATTTTAATATAAAAGATGCACAAATATTAAAGAGCACAATTTTCTTGATATTTACTCCACTGGAAACGAATGTAAACATAGAACAGATTATGGAATTACTGAATTGGCAGACTAGTCCATCAGCTGATGCTCACAACAAAATGTGTTTGTCTTAAGGATTTCGTGAACTAACTGTTCGGTTAACGAATTACCTTCCATAAGAATCTTCAGTTCGGTTAACGAACAAAAATTCAATGAACGAAATCCTGACGAACATCACGTTTTGTTGTGAGCATCAGCTGATGGGCTAGTCTGCCAATTCAGTAATTCCATAATCTGTTCTATGTTTACATTCGTTTCCAGTGGAGTAAATATCAAGAAAATTGTGCTCTTTAATATTTGTGCATTTTTTATATTAAAATTATTAGTGATTTTAACATTTATTTAACATATTGATAATATATGCAGTACAGGGAACTAGTTTTTTGTGCGCCCATCAGCCGCTTGACTCAGCCACAAGGTGTTAGTTGGGCTCTGGTGACAGTGGAGTGAACATCTATTTTGTTGGTGTCTTGAATATTTTTGCATTTTTCATTGAAATTATTGGTCATTCTGAAATTTAGTTAACATATTGATAATATTTAGTGCAGTGCAGTGTTGATTTAAATAAAATAATCTTGAATTACACCTAGTGAACTTAAAATTTTATTGGTGAAATTACTGCATCAAGCAAGGGTCCACTGAAAGGTGATTTCTCCTCCATCCCCACTTCCTTCTCCTCCACTCCCACTTCTAATTCCCATCATCATCATCAACCAGGAACCTTCTACATACACACCTCAAAGTAAGTGTACTTTACTGCATTTTTTTTTTTTTACTTTGTATGGACTTTTCTACAAGCTGGAACCAATTACCCAATATCCCATTGAAACAATGGATTCGGTTATCGAACGACCCTCTGGAACGAATTGTGTTCGTTAACCGAGGGACCACTGTACTGTATACCGTAGCCTTTCTCTGATAACCACTAGACATACTCATGTGACCATCACAGGTGCATGATACAAATGCGATAAATAAATGGATAGTTTCACTTCCCAAGGACATACACAATCTTGCCTCCTGTTATGTCTCCAGTCTTTGGTATAATTTTATTAATGGTGAAGAAGCTTTGTATTACTACTGTATTATACTGTGCTAAATACTAAACAAGGTTCTGCTGATAATTCTGTTCTCTTATCTCACTAACTTTAATTACAGTTTAGTTTTAAGGTGTGAAATATGGTTATAATTACAGTACTTAGACATTATAGAATATACTGTAGTAGCAATTAACAGTGTGTCTTACCACCCACTCATGGTCTCAACTCAGGCTACACATTGTGGTCTACTATTCCACTAATCATTATATATAACTTGCTTGCTTCATCCTCATATTCCTCTCAGTTATTTACCCAAACACGTTGACCTTCTCTCTCCTCTATCGTACTCACTAGAAGCCGTTATTGACTGCTTACTGTCGTGTTGTGTTAGACAGCGCGAGTCAAGTACTGCGTTGATGTCACTTGACGATCTTGAGCACTGTGGGGTAGTGTACTGTACTTGTTAACCATAATATAAGGAGATATTTTATATAGAACATCTGCCTTTAACCTTTTATGTTGTGACAGCCCATACTGAAGCTTACCTAGATGTGGAGGTTAATATGTTGGTGGTGGTGATGGGTGGTGGTGGTGGTGATGGTGATGGGTGGTGGTGGTGATGGGTGGTGGTGGGTGGTGGTGGTGGTGATGGGTGGTGGTTGGTTGTTGGTGGTGATGATGAAAGGGTGGTGATGGTTGGTTGGTGGTGGTGATGGGTGGTGATGGTGATGGTTGGTGGTGGTGATGGTTGGTGGTGATGTGATGGTGGTGGTTGGTTGTTGGTGGTGATGATGAAAGGGTGGTGATGGTTGGTTGGTGGTGGTGGTGGCGATGGTTGGTGGTGGTAATGGTTGGTGGTGGTGGTGATGGTTGGCTGGTGGTGGTGATGGCTGGTGGTGATGGTTGGCTGGTGGTGATGGTGGTGGTGGTGGTGATGGTTGGCTGGTGGTGGTGATGGTTGGTTGGTGGTGGCGATGGTTGGTGGTGGTGATGGTCAGTGGTGGTGATGGTTGGTGGTGGTGATGGTTGGTGGTGGTGGTGATGGCTGGTGGTGGTGATGGTCAGTGGTGGTGATGGTTGGTGGTGGTGATGGTTGGTGGTGGTGATGGCTGGTGGTGGTGATGTACGTCACACACTAACATCAGCATTTAGCTCCACCGTGTGAGAGGCCAGCAGGACAGACTGCCAGAATGTTTTACAGGTTGAGGGATAAAATACGGATCTTTGCCTTTAAAAAAAAAAGAATCGTAATTTATCAGAAAAAACAGGCATACTGTGAATCTACGGTACATAAATCATCATCATCACAAAGATTTTGTCACCTGTAGAATCTGGCCCAAACATTTCACATACTGACTGTCTTCATGCCAGTGAGTGTTGAAGAGTTCAGTAGTCTCACTTTAACATTTACAGAAGAATTGTCCAATACTGACTTTACTGTGAACAACATGTAGTGTAGTGGTAGTGTTTGGTAGACACTGAGGCAATAATACAGTACTTTGCTATCTAGAGCTTTGTGTCAGGTGTTCTTCACTGGGTGCAGATTAATATTAAGTCGAGCAGAAAGTAATGTCAGCTTGTAATTTGTTAACAGGCATTCTCAGACGACCATCTATGAGTAAGAGCGAGGCAGGTGAATGGCAGCGCAAGAAGGGTCCGGCCCCTCCCAGACCAGTGCCACAGAAGCGAGCCCTCAAGAAGCTTCCCATGCGAATTATTCAACAGGAACTTCAAGATATTGAAATCAAACAAACTGAACTTGAAAGACAAGGCGTCTTGTTGGAAACCTCTATTCGCTCTCGAACAGAAAATACACCAAACAACTCGGTGGAGGATGCAACCACCCCCAGTAGTGGTCCAAACAGCATAGAGGTAGAAGATATGATACTACAGCTGTTTGAGCTTGTTAATGAGAAAAATGAGTTGTTCAGACGTCAAACTGAGCTCATGTACCTGTAAGTAACTCCAGTTAGTATTAAACCTTTTTTATTAAGATTAATCCATAAAGCAGTGAATATGGGAAACAAAACCTATCTGGTGAGTTTTCAGACCAAACATATTAATTTTTCCTCCTAATAGTTCAATAAAGGTACAGTACATTTATACAAATACAGCTGTGTACATCACATTAAGTTGAGACACAACTCGAGTACTAACATATTTTGTATAGATTAAGTACTTGTTCAGAGTAGCATATGATACATGTATGTCACAGCTATTGAGGTTTGCCCTGTAAACCTCCAGGCAATGTACGACTCGAGTATTAAAAAAATTTGTAACTTCCTGTGACAGCTGTCACTTAATAATGAAAGATTAGAAGTCACAGTTCACTCTAAAGACATGGAGGTAATAAGTTGTAATGTCACACACCTTATGCTACACCAAGTTGTAAAACACCTTCCCTTAACAAAAATCCATCTGTCTGAAATCGCTCCTTGGTTCTAGGGTTGGGTTGGCCACATTGTGATAATGTATGTGATGAACTAATGACATTCTGTCATTGTGGAGTTCAGGGGAAACTGCCTTACCTGGTGCTGTGGATACCCACTCCACATAGCCCGAGTCCAATCTGTTGTAATAAACAATATTTCCTGGTATCACACACACACACACACACACACACACACACACACACACACACACACACACACCAAGAAACTATCATTATGACAAATATATACCATATTAAGACAATCAAAGTTTGCTCTGCCACAAACACTAAATTGGAAAAATAAAGTCGGGAATGCCTCACTCTGTTTCAGTAGCAGCAGAGGACTTAACCCCTTACCCAGATATGAATGCAGTATACTGTACATGTATATCAATAGTCAGAAGTTCAGTGTAAGTTTAAAGTTGTGTACTAATTTTATTTAATCTCTGGTTTACTCACTTCACTTACAGTTATGATATAAAGTTTGCAGCACAGGTATAAATCAGTTGATTTCTTACAGCAAGCGTGAAAAACGTTTAGAGGAGGAATACGTTGAACTGGAATATCAGATTCGGTGTCTAATGCTTAAACCGCCCTCTGAGAAGACCGAGACAGACACTACCCAAGAGGAAGAACTGATAGCACGGCTGGTGAAGGTCGTGGAGCAGCGCGATGAGATCATCAACTGCTTGGAGCTCGACAGGTTACGAGAGGCACAGGAGGACGAGAGCATTGCCACTCATATGATGCAGTACCAAGGTTGGTGATTCATGTAGCCACTTAATTTTATCGAGCAAAATAAAAACATTAATTAACAGAGTACAAAATTGATATTCAATTCTTATTTCAGAAAAACATATTGATGGTATTGAGAATGGTAGCAGTTTACAAGTCTCTCCCAAGAAGAAGAAGACACTCAAGTTACCTAAGAAGAAGAAGAAGAAAGAAAAGAAAGATAAAAAGGACACAAAGGCTGATGCTGACAAGGACATAGATGAAACTGAAACAACAGAGGTGAAGAAGAAAAAGAAGAAGAAGAAATGGCTGTTCTAACATTCCTGGAGTTGCCGGGAAACAAACTTACTGCTGAGAATAACTTGAAAGTAACAAATAATTTTGAAAAGAATAATTTACTTAGGATAGATTTCTTTTGATATTACAATCTTTCATCATCAAGTTGAGTTCTTATTGGTTAAAACATGTTCAGTAGTGACAATGAAACTTAACTCTCTCGACTGTGGACAAATTTGGGTCGTGTTATCACTTAAACTTCCATCGGGATCCATCATTTATTGCTGGCCAACCAGATTCTTCCAGAAAAGTTTAGGCATTCCAAGTTATCTCAGAGGAATTGAGATAATTTATTAGAATTCTTTTGTCTTCAGATATTCTTCATATAAGGATTATATTGGCTGTAACACAAGACTTAAATGTGATAAATTTAAAAAAAAGTCTCAAATATTTTGGATGTAAGATTCCTTTTGAGCCATTTTGAAAGACAAGATGTTGAATTGGTTTCTTATTTTGTAGATCTTTTAAACTGAATTGCTCATAGATTTTATAGTACTGTAGTCAAATAGGTTTTAGTAATCTGTACATAATTTTTAAATTATGAGAATTGAGGTCAGTTTGAAACTGTACAACATTAATTTCTCAATTAGGAAGAATAAACTTTTAATAACTATTGAAGATCTGAAATTGTGAGAGGCAGAGCCCATTACTGCCTTCCTTTCTCTTAGTAACTTAAGAGGTATGGTCCCTGCACATAGCATTTACATTAATACCAATGATTTCATCTTATAAATTTGGAACTTTTAGGTAATTTCATTAATGGCTGATTTGACTGTATTTCTGAGCATTTGTAGTTAATTCTATTGCTAATTTAATTGTCAGCATATAAAGGTAATAGTAATCCTGAGCCTGATTGTGGGAAGACGAAGAGAAAATTTAATTTACTTACACTGTAGATTCCAAGATGATAATATACCTGTACATTTGACAGTACCAACATGCTTACTAGTTAACTCAGGTACTGTCATTCTTCTTGCTTCTCCTGTATGTGATAGGGGAATATTCTTCTGTAAAAATGTAAACAAGTTCTCTACCACATGACATTTATACATTTATATGGTGTTGTTTATTACTGGTTGTGGAGATACATCATTATTAATAAGCAGTTATTGGTCGTATGATTTAGCTTTGTATAATTTAAAAAGTTAAATAAAAAATGTCTGGAGCAAGATAAGGACAATTGATACCAACTAATTATGAAATGAGTTTGATGCATCGGTGGTGGATTTCTCTTCGTATAGAGAGTTTTGCCTATGTTCAGTAAAATATATTTAATTACAAATGTAGAGAAATGCATTATAATTTGTTAAATCATTATACATATTTATTCTTGAATCATGACTTGTCTGCTGTTTACAACATCTAGTGTACAACTTCCTTCACAATGTTGAGCTTCCAATAATACTGTATAGTGTTTGGTTGATTCTTTTCCATCCATAAATCCTAGCCCTGTGTTCATCCATTCCATAAACAATTGTTATTAATACTATTTTATACCTTTTATACCCTACCTTCATCTACGGATAAGAGATTTTCTATTTAATTGTTAAATAAAGATTCCACTACTAAACATGTTCACTATGTAGCATATTTATTCACAAAGACAAAGTTTAACTTTTTTTGGTATACTGTAGTGGAATGTTAGGTCACATTGATTGTGGTGCAATTACCTTATACAATGTAACTTATTTATAATGCTTTATGCACTAGAAAATTATTTTATAGTAACCTTATAGCTTATGATCAGTGCACATTCTCAATGAATGTGAAAGTTAGTTCACTGCAAACACAAGTACCTAGTGTCTAAAATTTTAAGTGCAATAGTATCACCAGTTCATGAGAATGCAGCACATAATTAGGCTCGTACGTAATGAGTCTCCATATCCCGCATAATACATTGTTCTTATCAGCTACAGGGGATGTTTATGTATAAAGAAGCCCTTTTTTTATAGTAACTGGTTTAAGTTAGTGAATAAAGATTTAATTTGGTAGAACTGCAGATGCTTTTATTTTGTTGACCTCACAACGTCTATGTACTCGTATGTGTCGGGAATTCTGAATGTGCCCCAACGCGCCTAAACTCCCGACAGAATGTGGAATCAAATTTGTGTATTATTGATTTATATGCGTCAAATTTATTGATTTATTTCTTCTGTAAATATTTTGGACTTACTAATGTATACAGTAATATTGTTGGGAATTCTGAATGTGATGAGACAAGTATGAATTTTCACCTTATACACAGTGTTTTGGAAATACAGTCGTGCGCCGGTTAACGTCCTAGATACGTTCTTGGAAACTTGACGTTAACCGAAATGGACGTTGTCCGATCATCGCATAAACTTTTTATTTATACTTACGTGTATGTGGAATACTATATACGTACATATACACTTTTACTCTTAAATCACTACTGTAATGTGATACAGGTGATTAATTTTTATCTCTTGTGCAAAATACATGACGTTTATATTAAAATTATTCACTGTTTTACAAGGATTCCAGCAACGCCAGCAGATGGGAGAGAGAGAGGGTGGGAGCGAGCGAGGGGGCGTGGGGAGGGGAGGTAGTACGTTTGACAGTTGGCACAGGCCCAGGTCTAACGCGTGTATATTTATCAGTTCTTAGGTGACTAAGCTTCTCTCTTATAAAAAGCCAGTGAAATGACCTGGGTGAATATAATTAACATAGCTGGGATTCTTGTAACATACTGATTAATTTGAATATAAACATGCTATAATTTGCACTAGACAAAACAATTTTAGTACCGTAATCAAATTAATACATGTGCACTCCAGCTTTGCACTAAGAAATCTATGTAAATTTACCCAAAAATACAGTTGAAAAACTTTTTTATAAAATGTGCTACAGTACTGTACTGTACACTAATGTACAACAATTTTTATCTCTTGAGCAAATAATGTGACATTTATATTCAAATTATTGGCTGTCTTGCAAGGATTCCAGCAATGCAAATTATAATCTAACTTTAGTCTGAGATATTATATAAGATAAAAACTGTAAGCCTAAAAGCCTGGCTGGGGGAGGGGACTGACGGCTCCGCCACCCAGCGAGGGGTTGGGGGGAGGGGGTAGAGGTGATAAGTTTGAGGTGAAGGTCTCTGTGTGTTTATTTAACAGTCCTACTAAGCTTCTCTCATTTTAAAATGCCAGTGATATGACCTAGGAAAATATAATTAACATAGCTGGGATTCTTGTAAGATACTGATTTATTTGAATATAAACATATTGTAATTCGCACTAGACAATTTTAGTACCGTAATCAAATTAGTACATGTGCAGTCCAGCTTTGCACTAATTTATTTTACGTTTATTTTAGTATGGTGTGTGCATGTAAATGGGTGAAAATAAATGAAGAAATTTATGTAAATCTACCCAAAAATACAGTTGAAAAACTTTTTATAAAATGTACTACAGTATTGTACACTATGTACTACATTTTTTATATCTTGAGCAAAATATATGACGCTTATATTCAAATTATTCTCAGTCTTGCAAGGATTTCAGCAATGCAAATTATATTATCCTAACTTTAGTCTGAGATATTATATAAAATAAACATAAAGAAATCACCAGGATGGGAAGAGGGGGCGGGAGGTGAGGTGACAATGTCTGGCGTTTGTTTGTTTATTTATTTGAGATAAGATTTGACAGTTGGCGCTGAAGGCCTGGGTGTTTATTTATCATTACTTAAGAGTGACTAAGCTCTTCTCATAATTTTCCACCCAAACGACCTTGGTAAATATAACTTACATTGGAGGGATTCTTGTAAGATAGTAATTTATTTGATTTTTTTTTTTTCAATTTAAATTTTAATTATTTATTCCTTGATAGAGGAAGCGGGATCCTAGTGCTGTCACTTGGTACCCCTGTACCATAACACCAGAAGCAACTGGCCAGTGTCACAAGTATATACAGTCATCCCTTGCTTATCGCTCCTAATTGGGACCCCGCCGATAACGAAAGTACAGAACCTATGGGATTTATTCTAATTGGTTCACGCACCCATTTTACGACCATTTAGACCCACTAAATATATGTATAATGTTATGGTAAATATCATAAACACACATAGGCAGGGCTAGGTTTATTACAGTGATGAAAAGGGTACGCTTAATACTGTAGTCCACAAAACATGTAGCTATGCTTTTTTTATTTGGTCCCCCGTCATACGAGTCCGTTTTCTCTCACATCAGGACGTCTGGGTGGGGGGGGGGGGTTGGGGGCCGTGGACTTATATGCGATCGGAAGTTGTTCGGTCGGACGTTAACCGGCGCATGACTGTACATTTCATAATTCTTGGGGTGTATTCCTGAGACAATTCCAGAACAAAGTGTCGGAATCTGTATAGTTCCCAAGCTACAGTGCTTGAAAAAGGTTGTACTAGCCAACAAATTGAACTTTTGGGCCTAATGTCCAAAGGGAGCAAAAAGTGATATGAAGGTGAAACAAGAAAACTCAACCTAGACAATGTATGACTTTAAGGCCAGTTCTGAGTGGTTTGAGAGCTTCAAGTGTCGGGCAAATCTTCACAACTTGAAGCTGAAAGTGCCGAAACCGAAGCTGCGTTAGCCTTTCCAAAACTCCCAAAGGAGAAAATTAAGGTAGGTGGTTACTCTCCCAAGCAAGTGATCAACATTGACGAGATAGGGCTGTTCTGGAAGAGGATGACATCACATCCCTTCATTACTCAGGAGAAGACTGCACCCGGTGTCAAGGCAGCCAAGGACAGGCTCACCCTTTTGCTTGGTGGTAATGCTGAAGGTGACCTGAAGCTGAAGCTCATACTCATTTACCACTCAGAAAACTCCAGGGCTCTTATTGGTTTCTACAAGGATTATCTACCAGTTATTTGGCGCTCCAACCAGAAGGCGTGGGTGACGACAGCACTAGTGTAGAATTACGTGATTAGTTACCTCTCCACCGTGTGCAGGGAATATTGTTAAAAAAAACAACCTGCACAACAAATTCCTCCTCCTTGACAGTGCTCCTGCACCCACCCAGCATGGGAAAGTGACCAGACAACATTGAGCTGATGTTTCTGTCACAACCCATGGATCAAGGTGTCAGTCATTTCCACCTTTAAGGCTTACTACCTTTGGTGCATGATGTGGGAACTTGTTCAACAGACTGCACACAGCCAGACCAACATCAAGGAATTTTTTAAGCCGTTTAATATTAAGAAAGTGATCGAACACACCAACAAGTCTTAAAGGAGGTGTCGCAGCAAGCCATGAACGGCGTGTAGTGCAATATTTGGGCCGAATATTTACACGATTTTGCAGATTCAGCGATGTGGGAACAGTGCAACAGGACATTGTTAACCTTACCCAGGAGGTAGACAGGGAGGACGTCCAGCATCTGATCCAGTCACACAGCCAGGACCTCACCAATGAAGTACTGTACTCGAGCAGCTCTAGCAGCAGAGTCTTCATGAAGAGGAGGGGAGAAGCCAAAGGAACATCCTAAAAGAAGAAAAAAAAATTAACTTAAAGGCATTAAACATTAATTATGTGTGTGTATGGGAGCAAGCACTGAGGGAGGGAGGGAGTGAGCGATGGCTAGTGTTCCCTCGCCTTCCTCACTCGCTGCTCTGCCTTCTTTTGTCAAACAACAGTAATTATTATTTTTTTTTAAATTTATTTCTCGCATTTATTGGTACAGTACAGTAAAGCCTCCGATAACGACGGTTCGACCAATGACGATTCATATTTAAGACACTAGTTAATTTAGGACCCAATTCAATTTACTTCATTATTTTATTAGTATTTACGACAAAAATATACCCGGTAATAAAAATAAAATAAAATTACATTTTCATATAAGTAATAACTACCTGTAAATCCAGATATGTATTAAAAAAAATACTGTAAAAAAAAAAGAGGAGCCTTGCACAAAGAAGCTGCTGGGCTAATGAGTGGCATCACCAGTAAACAAGAGGCGGAGCTTGGCGGTCCCTTTGTTTTCACTCATCTGAACAGGAACAGGAGAAAATCTTTATTGGGTTTCTTACGACATTTTTGAGTCCCTATTCAACATGCGCAAGATAGCAAGTGATGGTAGTGCTGGTTGAAAAGCTAAAAGAAAGTGTATAAGCAGAATGAAGCATTAAAATTAACAGGGATGTGAAAAACACATAAGATCTCTACTTAAAGATGTATAATGAGAAAAGAAAGTGAAAGGTTCTTTAGACAACTTTATTACTCAAAGGCCTAAACCATCAACTTCAGCTACACCATCAAATTCAACATCACAAGCAGCTTCAACAACAACTTCAGGTTCACTAACAGTTTCAGCAACAGCTATGACATCTTTATGGCATGTTACCCTCAACTTAATGTAAATAGAATATTTTTGTATAATTGTGTGTGAGCAAGGCTGGTACTTGATACAATAAAAAAAATTTCTGTATATATGCAGGTATTTTTGCAGCTTAATGTGGGAGTTGCTTAATATTAGTGTCAGGTTTGTAGTTCCCTGGAATAAGGAGTTTTGACAGTCACTGGCTGGCCTTGGGAGCAGGAGGACGTCTCGGTTGTCAGTGACGGATACCTTTTTCAAATAGGGTTTAGTTGAGTATTATATTCAGTGCTGCTCTATTATAATTCATGGTGTGTAAAGTGCAATCAATTATTGTGCTGTAAGGTGGTTTATTGTTTATACATGGTGCCAATAATAGTTGTTTATTAAGGATTATGTTTATTCTTTATTCTCTTGATTTAATTTATCTTATGGAACCTACACATTTATTGTAGCTGCCCATTGAGCGACTGTGGGTTAATGAGACCCTTACACGCAGGACTCGATTGTTCTTTATTCGGTCAAAACCTGCAGAGTACAAATTACATATGTTACATCTGAGATAATTAATTCAATCGTATGTTCCATCACTATTAGCGACTACATATAGTATATATGAGTAGAGTAGGGTGTTAAACCATATAAAACTTACGTGTTTCTGGTCTAATGTAGGACTTATTAACTCCCTGAGTTGATAGGTAACTGGACGGATCGAGACTGTCTTCTGAACCCCACAGAGAGCAAGTCAGCCCGAGAGGAGGGCCATCTGTTTCACATTTAACACCCCAGCAAAGTTTGTCGTAAACACTCTGTCTCTCTTTCTCTCTCTCTATCCCTCTCTTTCTCTCTCTCTTCTAGTTTATCCTATTATGGCAGTAACATATCCTACTGTGGCGGTAACACTCCCCCTGTCGAGCTTGCTCGAAACCCATTGTCTGCCGAGAGTCTCACTCTCCGACTCCCTCCAATAGGCAGAGCTTTGTCACTAGACGTATTAACACTGAGTCCTTTGTCTTCACTTTGACATGCTGCACCAGGCCGTCATCACCTGGTACTGCCTCCAATACCCTTCCCAGCATCCAATGGCTCCTTGGGAGAGGATGTCCAGATATGATGACGATGTCCCCAGTGTGGAAGTTGCGGTGCGCCCTGAAGTGTTGCTGTCGCCTCCGTAGTGTCGGGAGATATTCTTTCATCCATCTCTTCCAGAATTGGTCTGCAATGAATTGAGCATGCTTCTGCTATGGACTGATTGCCTCCAGTGGGCAGGGTTCCCGAGCGCATTCGCAGTAGGTGAAGCGGAGTGAGTTTTTTTTTTTTTTTTTTTTTAAGGGAATTAGCCCACCTGGGCACAGGCCAAACGACCCACAACGGGCCTGGGGGCTCTAGGTCTCTCGGGTCGTCGGATACTGGGGTGATGGGCCTCCCGTTGACGATCTCTTCTACGGCACAGAACAAGGTGTTGAGTCGCTCGTCGTTAAGTACCTCTGTGCCCATCACCCCCTGGAGAACCTTCTTCACCGTGCGGATCTGACGCTTGGGAGGTCCTCTGCGGGATGTAAGCCTCGTCATGGCGTTGATGAATGAGTCTGTGTTCAGTGAGGTGAAGACTTCCAGGTGTATAGCTCGGGTGGCCAGACATGTAAACAAGCATCCGGATCCTTTCGCCCGGGCCCGGCCTTGTTTAACCAAAAAGGGACCAAACACAGTCGACTCCGGTGCAGGTGAATGGCCGATCTTCTGGATGTACCCAATCCTCTGGCAGGTCAGCTTGGCGTTGGTGGGTAGGCTTCCAACTGCTTCTTCGACAAATTACACATACGTGTGCTCGTGTCCTGAGTGGCCAGCCCTGGTCGAATGTACCTCCTGTACAATAAGTTCTGTGGATTTTGTCCCTGGGTAACAGTATGGGGTTCTTTGCTCTGGATGGAGAGCAGCACGCTTCAGTCGGCCGCCTACTCTGATCAGACCGTCTGCACCCAGGTAAGGTTCCAGTCTGCTTACGTCACCAGTCCTGAGAGAGTGTCCTCGTGGGGAAATCTCTTCCTTTGTATCAATTTTGAGACGACTAACTTCGCATCTTCTAATTCGCTGACCTTGAGTCGACGTTTTCGGTGATGTCTGTTCTTTCACTTCCCCAACTGCCATTCTATAAACCTTCTAATCCACGCTACGTTATTCAGAAGTCGATGTCACAAGGAGTACCTGGCCCATAGCTTATCGAAGGTACCCTTCCCCTGGTCAGCGTTTGTCGTCAGCACCGTGGTTTCCTTCTTCACCTCTGGGTCTCCGTCTGTGAGGTCTGGAATCCTCATTGGACTCTTTTGCCAACCGTCTTCTTCCAACAAGAGGAAAGCAGCTCCCCGAATCCACCTGCCCTTATCGTTGAGCTCTGCTCCATGTAGTCCACAAGTAGCGTCATCTGCTGTATTTAGTGCCGACTTCACGTGGCGCCATTGTTCTGCATTGGAGTCCTTGTGTATTGTTGCCACTCGATTGGCCACGAAAGAATGGAAGCGTCTTTCGGTGTTTTGTATGTACTGAAGGACATGGTCCTGGTTGTTATAATCATGGTCGTGGTTGTTATAATCATGGTCGTGGCTATTATAACCATGGTCGTGGTTGTTATAATCAAGGTCGTGGTTGTTATAATCATGGTCATGGTTGTTATAATCATGGTCATGGTTGTTATAATCATGGTCGTGGTTGTTAGAATCATGGTGCTGGTTGTTATAATCATGGTCGTGGTTGTTATAATCATGGTCCTGGTTGTTATAATCATGGTCCTGGTTGTTAGAATCATGGTGCTGGTTGTTATAATCATGGTCGTGGTTGTTATAATCATGGTCCTGGTTGTTATAATCATGGTCCTGGTTGTTAGAATCATGGTGCTGGTTGTTATAATCATGGTCGTGGTTGTTATAATCATGGTCCTGGTTGTGTTCACAGAAGAGGGTATTAGAAATAAACTGTCCAGGCTAAAGGTCCATAAGAGTCCTGGACCTGACATGGTGCATCCTAGAGTGCTAAGGGAGCTGTGCAACGAGCTTGCAGAGCCCCTGAAGATTCTGTTTTGTAAATGCCTGGATGAACAAATGGTCCCCAGTGAATGGAAAGTGGCTTATGTGAGTCCTATCTTCAAGAAGGGCGATAGGCACTCCACGAACAACTATAGACCGGTGAGCCTGACCAGCATAATATGTAAAGTACTTGAGAGTATTATCAGAGATGCAGCGATGGAACATCTACTACGAAACAACCTTGTAAAAGATTGCCAACACGGTTTTATGCCGGGGCGCTCTTGCTTGACACAATTGCTCAAGGTATTGGATATTTGGACCCATATTCTAGAACGGGGTGGTAATATCGACAATATTTACCTAGATTTTGCCAAGGCTTTCGACAGTGTACCCCACGAAAGGCTGAAAATCAAACTGGAAGGGTACGGAATTCGGGGAAATGTCCTAGCGTGGATAGAAGACTTTCTACATGACCGCAAGCAATGTGTGGTGATTAATGGCACGAAATCGTCATCTGTACCTGTAACAAGTGGGGTACCGCAGGGTAGTGTATTGGGCCCGCTGTTGTTTGTTTGTTTCATAAATGATATGCCTGACGTTGTACACTCCTCCATACAAATGTTTGCCGATGACGCCAAGTTATTTCGGGAAATTAAGAACCAAGCGGACTGTGAAGAGCTGCAGAAGGACCTCTGTGGGCTCCAGGAATGGTCGAAGGAATGGCTGCTGAGATTCAATGTCACGAAGTGTAAGAGGATGCACCTGGGGCGTACCAACGGTAAGGAGGCGTACCATATGTCCCAACGGGATGAAGAAAATGTACTAGTTGAGACTGTGTGTGAGAAGGACCTAGGTGTGTATGTTGACAATGAGCTGAAGTTCTCGGGCCATTGTGAGAAGAAGGTAAATCAGGCAAATAAATTATTGGGTCTTATAAGAAGGTCGTTCAGATATCTAGACGGTCCGTCCCTCGTGACGATCTTCAGGAGTGAAGTGCTTCCCCATCTGGAGTACTGTCACCCCATCTGGTCCCCGAGATATGCTAGGGACTGTCAGTTGGTTGAAAATGTTCAAAGGAGGGCCACCAAGCTGGTGCCTGCACTTCGGCATCTCAGCTACCCTGCGAGATTGGAGCGCCTGAACTTGCCTAGCTTATACTACAGACGGGCAAGGGGGGACCTAGTTGAGGTTTATAAGCATCTCAGGGGGCACTACTCAGTTGAGTGTCCTTACTTGGAGCTGGCGGACGCTCGCCCCACAAGGGGTCACAGCTCAAGATTGAAGAAGCCGCAAGTCCGGAAAACCGTGAGGGCAAACTTTTTCGGAGTGAGGGTTGTAAACTCTTGGAACAATCTACCAGAAAGTGTTGTGACGGCACCGAGTGTGAGCTCTTTCAAGAGAAGACTTGACCAACACTGGAGCGGGTTCAGGTACATTCAGGAGCCGGTGCATGCCCAGTATTTGCCAACAGTGCGTGACAGAGACGTGACCGATCGCCCGGGCGGCTAGCGAGCCGACCTTTTGGTGAAGAATATAAAGGAAAAGAGTCGTGACCGATCGCCCAAGCGGCTAACAAGCCGATCAGTGGCGAAGAGGATAAAAGTAAAAAAAAGTAAAAGTTATAATCATGGTCGTGGTCGTGATACTTTCAGTATCTAATATGCTATAAGAAGAAATAGAATAAAGGTTAGAATAATTAATTAAAGAAATTTTCGCCATAAGGAGAGGTTAAAATCATAAAAAAAAAATTATTATGAATCACCAATGATCATCCCAAGAAAAATTATATTATGAAGAGAAGTGAACTTGATTCTGGTTATATTAGTCACCATCTACGTTAGTCAGTTTGAGGCCCATTTCACATGACTGACCGACCATCGATGTTCTTTCCGCTCGAGGGTGTTAGTTTTCAATGCGTCTTAATATTTACGCTGGTGGATATAAGACCTGCTACCTTCACTGACGGAGCTATGGTCAATTTGGTGCTATTCTTGTTTATAAATGCCTTCTAATCTGTCTCAAGTCTATCCACCCTGTCTATTGCCATCCCAACTGTCTGTTCGTCTGCGTTGTGTTTGAATGTAAGCCCGTCTGTACTCTTTGTGTGGTCAAATCTGTCTGTCTTATCCGTTGTTGGCGTGTGTCTGCCTGTTTGTCTAATGTGAACCAGTCAGTCAGCTGTCTGTCTGTCATGTTAGTTGCCATATTGTCTATTTGTGCAGGTATGAATCTGTCTATTTTTGTCAACCTCCTGTCTGTTTCACTGTCAATATTCACCCTGTGTCTATTGTAGTCATCTTTTCCATGCATTCCTGTTATTATCTTTTTATCTCTTCTCTTTTTCCATGTACAGTCACCCACAGGAATGAGTATACACTGTAGCTGTTAGGTCGTCTGGTAACGTTGAAACTGCGCATCCACACGCATGATGAAACTCGGCTCCCCCCCACCTGTTATCTCTAACTATTTTTTGTTTCCCCTTCTTCATTCTTCTATTTACTCATCTTCCTTCCTTTACTAATGCAAACAACATAAACAAAAAGTAGGCTAAGAAAAAAGTGGGGGAAGGAGGAGGGAGCCATACGATAACTGCAATTAACTGCAATCGTGGGCTGACAGCGTCCAGCGAATGAGGGTGTGCCAAGTCCGTAGACTTGCATCGTTTTCCAGCATAAATAAAATGGTTATGTAATGGTTTCCTAAAGAAACCATCGATATGGGACCAGGTTTGTTCCACTCTTCGAATTTTTTGCGATTTTTCCACCAAGTTTGATGAAAAACGATTGTGCCGTTTCGGCTACCCAGAACAGACACACACACACGCCTAGTCCTATAGTATATTTGATTCCTTCTTTCTGGCTGCCTTGCTTGTAGTTTTGTGTAGCACCATGATAAACTGTAGGAACACAATGGTGTACCTTGATTAAGTCAGGAGTGGATAACAAAGAACAACTAAGGGTTTTAGTTGGAGCATACCTGGTTGAAACATACCATTTGGAACATACCTGGTAGAAGCATACCATTCGGAACATACCCGGTTGAAACATACCATTCTGAACATACCCGGTTTGTCGCGATCCCACTACCCTTTATACTTGGGGAGTGAATCCTACCCCAAGTTATTAACAAATAAAGGTACAAATAGGGAACACGGCAATAATTATCTCCACCAAAAACCTACTCAACTAAATGTACTTGAAAAAGTAAGAACAGTTGAAATAAGTGAATCACAAAAGGGAAGATAATTAATTAATTCGATTTATGTTTTAAAGGGAGTAATGACTAGCAAACAAGAATTTAAGGGAATAAGTAATTGTATAATAAAATAAGAGTGATGCCGGAAGGGCGAAAATATACTGTAAGGAGTTAGACCAAACAAATATTACTTAACATTACTATATTACACAAGACATACGAAATATATATATACAACAATCACTACAAAATGATTATCCCTACCAAACAGGAGATACCTTACCACCAGGATCCCTTCCTAGGCCTAACTAAACGTGTCACTAATACCTGATACCCCTAGGGCATTGCAGAAGGCTGGATAAAGCACTAGACAAGGGTCAAGGCTAGAGAACGAATGGACACGTCTAACCTATGCCACGGATTTTCGCTACTGGGGAGCGTGGGCACGCCGAGCAGCGCGTCTCATCTCACGTGATCCAGACATTTGCTAGATATTTTATATAATTAATTAATACTCTCTTGATTTGAACTTAACAGAGTAAGACAATGATGCATATTAATAACATACATAAATATACAATTAACCTAAGTAACTAAGAACAATAATAATATAATAAGTACAATTAACAATTTATTAATAACTTGTATGAAATGTAGGAGTGAACATATGCCTCACGCTATGCGAGTTCCCGAGCGCTATAGGCACGTGACACCTCCCCCAAAAAAGTGAGCTTACAACTAACTGGAAGCGAAAATGGATATACAGCTACACAGTGAAAGTAATAACTAACACAATTGGTTTAAATCAATATGAAGCAAAATAATTCATAATATAAACACAAGGTACTCAATGACAATAAAACAAAAAATAATTTGCATATAGACATAGTTACTAAATAATCAGACTCGAGAAAGTGCATCAGCCAACACGTT